CGGGGGGGGGGGGGGGGGGGGGTCACTCATGTTTTGCATGCTTTGCATGCCTTAGCGGTCAGACCATTGAGGGGGGGCGGGGGGGTACTCAGAAACGGGGCACGGCCGCCCGCAGCGTTCAGACGGAAACAATTACGGTTTTTGCTTGCGTACACGCACGCACGCACGCACGCACCACCGTCGAACCACGAAAAAACAAAAAAAGGTCAAAGAAGCATGTGACGACAAAAACTAAAAAACATCCGGCCAAAGAAGCGTGTGACGCAGATATTTTAGCGCTTACCCTTGAGAGTCCGTGTGGTCTCCGCTGGTGATGCGGCGGGCGGGGTTGTCGTTGCCCGTGTGGGGGAATTGCACCTGTCGTCGGGCGTGCCGACCAAGAAAAGTGGGTACAGCAGCAGCGGCATCTCAGGTATGATAGCAGTATACTGTCGCGGATGGTGAGATGATTCTTCCTGTGTCTCTGTCTCTGCCTCTCTCTCTTTGTCTCTCTGTCTGGTCTGTCTGTCTGCATGTCTCTCTCTCTTTGTCTCTCTCTCTTCGTCGCATAGTACTGAACCAAGAGTCTCCTCCTCTTTCTAGTCGTCGCATCTTCACCTGGAACTTGGACATGAAACCGCCCGTGGTCGCGCCCTCGGGAGTGATCGCCGGCAAATCGGGGAGAGGCACGACCTGTTGGTGGGCGGGCCGAATATCATGGTCGTTGTCGTTGTCGTTGTTGGTGGTGACGGCGGCAGCGGCAGTTAGTGGTTGTGGGGTTGCCGTCGTTGCCGGGGTCGACATGTGGAAGAGGAGGGCGATTGATTGCAGATGGTACACGCCACACAATATCAACGACAGCGCGCAGAAGAGATGTTGTCAGCCAAACAAGGTAGGGCGATCATGACGAAAACTTGATTTTCGGCAATAATAAAAAAAAGTCGAAGGCAGGCAGGCGGTTGGTTGTCCAACGATACGATATGTCAACCCAAAAAAAAACTTCAAATTTTGTTCTGTTCTCGTGAACAAAACCGTAGAGCGTCTTTCGCTTAAAATGGTTTCCCTTTACTCTTTCTTCTCAAACGGTATTTTGAACATTCAGCCATCTGCCTGGTCCTTCAAAAGGAGGTCGGAGGGCGGTGAAATTACAACGGATGGATGTTTCTCTGATTTTTGGGGAGTGTGTCGACAGTATTTTCAATCTTTACCCCGACCCCTTCTCCGATGGAAATACGTTTGAAATACGTGACAAATGAAAAACAAAAATTCCAAGACCCTCGTACGGGGTCAGAACCGATGCGTACAACACCGCCAAAATTCAGAAAGACTAAATACCGCTTCGAGATATTGCCCCACCCACAGGGAGGGATGGAAAAATATTGACAAGCGTCTGTGCTGAGCGTAAATCGAGAGCCAAGAGACTAAAATAACAAAGCAACAGCACTGGTGCAATGCAACGTTATCACTCGTCCTCCTGTCCCCCCCAGAATATTACGTAGTAATAATGTACTACGGGGTAATTAAATTTACTTATCGAACTGCTGTATCTAGGTTTTTTACCTTGCTGCGCTTCTTTGTCACTTAGGAAACACGTTAGTTAGATTTCTCCCGCGCTTTCAGCAGCAGTTGTCGACAACTCTGTACGTAGTGCCATACCTCTACTTTACCAGCTACAACAACGGGTTGAGCGTACCACTTACCGTATATGACACAAGATAACACACCCCCTGGGCCGATTTTCAAAGCTCGATTTCTCAACAGCAGGAAGAGTCACAGCGCCGAAAACGGCGGCGTTGGAACCGTCTCGTCGAGAGGTTTTCGACAATGTATTGTTTCGTTTATGCATCCTCTTCGTCGTGGAGTAATCGAGCTTTGAAAATCGGTCCAGGGGGTGTGTTATCTTGTGTCATAGGTATTCAACCCGTCGGAAGGAAGGGATGGTAACTGCGCCGCAAGCTTGTGTGCAGGCATGCAGGAACGAAAACGTACTGCTGTAGTGAACAACACAGTATTTTTTCTGCTGTTCGACGCCACGCTGAGTGATGAAGTAAACGCGTGCCAAGCAGTCTGCTTCCAATATGACGTACAAGACGCTGCCCAGCATTATCACAAACTCAACAAGTAGCACAAAGAAAGGCAGCTCGTCTAACAGAAAGATTGATACGTCGGGATACAGAAGTGACAAAAGTCTAGAGATTGTGCAACCACCTCGAAAACCTCTCCACTACCCAACGTTGACTCTCTACGGCCAGCCGCGGCTAAGGGCTCCATGGCTCTGATGTGAGCTATGGCTGCAGTAGAGGCAAATGCATGCTCTAAAAAGTATATCCATACATAGTCTATGTCGTTGCGAAAGTTGTGGTGTTCCGCCAACATACATTGTACGGTTGTTGGAATTGCGAGTACAGCAGCAGCAGTGCTGCTGTATGGTCGTCACTCTCAACAAGTACACTACATAGATGGGACCGTTCGTGGTACGGCAATAGCAGGCTTACTGCTGTGGGACGTATTGCATCCTGCTCTCGCTGCAACATCTTCAGCACATAGATCTAACGGGGAACAAATCCTTGCCCAACACTAGTTTTGTCCGTGTGCACCGCTCCTCGTGTCGTTCTTGTGTGTGGCACATTCTCGTGTGTCACCCGGAATCTTTAAGTCTAGACTACGCCGTCTCTGATCATGGAAAGATGGAACGACACCACGGCTGCTGCTGCCCGGCCCCGGCCCATGCCCAGTCATCATCAGCTCAGCAAGCACCTCTGGTTCGTGGCTCGATACCCTCGGCGACAAGCATACGCAGGATAACAACCATGAGTCGCCGCTGCCCCAATCTCAGTAAAAAAAATAGGTTGATTGCTAAATCAATGTGGATGTTTTATTCGCCCTGCTGTCTGCGGCGAGGCTCTCTGTCGCGCGACCTCTTCACAGAAGCCTTCTACCGAGCCTGTTGTACCTCTTCCCACGCTTCCGCTCGTATCTGGGGTTGCTGCCTACTGCTGTGAAGGAATGAGATCGGATCTCGGATCTCACCTCCTCTGCTTGTTGCACCCGTTGCACAAAAGACATGTCGCGTGCAAAACACAAGAGGATTTTGACCCCAACCACAACACGGACAAATCGCGTATCTCACCTCTGCTACTGCTCCCACTGGTGGCTGGATCGGGGCTCCAGGGAACACTCCTCCACCTCCTGCTGCTACAGGCGACATGGTGGATCCTCCCATAGCACCTGGAGGTAGCGGCGGCGGCGGCGGTGGCGGCGGCGGCGGTGGCTGCTGCTGCTGCTGCGGCTGCATAATAAAGTTGGCGGACATCGCTGTGTGCACCTCACTCTGGCTTGCTCCGCCGTTCGCTGCTGCGGCTCCTTTTCCCGCCGACCCAGCTGCTGTTGCTGGATGATTGACCAACAAATAGCACCGGAGGGTGGAGCAATCACGCACTGCTGTAGGTTACACAGCCGACACCTGCTTCCTCGTTGGCCAACTCTCAAGCGCTCCGGCACCAAGACGCTGCGGTGTTCTTGCTGTCGGCGGATCTTCAGCTGGTTCGGGGTGGTGATCCTCGGTCGGGAGGCCTCGACGGGTTGCCCGCGACGGGTATGTACCCGTTGCTGGTTGGCGGGAAGCTGTTGCTTCCAGGCTGGAAACCACGCGACTCTTGTGTCTCTCCCTCTCCCTGTCTGTCTGTCTGTGCGTGTCAGCTGCCAGCGGGATCCGTTTCACAACGTAAAAGACCCAGCAATTAATTTTTTTTATTGATTAATTGTACGCGGCGTGTGACGACCACTGCTAGAGAAAAAGGATTCGACAAAAAAACAACACACACCAGAAAAAAATCGGTTGAAACTGCTGCGACCATCTCCGAGATCTACGAAAATGGTTCTCTTTCGTGGAACGACCTGTTCGGGTAAAGCACTCACCCGCTTCGTGCCGCATGCCCACGCCCTTGCGCCGCGCGCGCGCGATTGGCAGCGAGATACAGCAGTAGTGGCGGAGGAAGAGAGAGTAGGACGGAAGAGGGGCGTCGCTGCAGCCGAGTCAAGGGACCGCTTTCATCGGCAACCATGGCCAAAGGAGAGTGCAAGGGCGATCAGGCAGGCGACGAAAGCAAGATGGCCGAAGACAAGGCAGTAGCAGGGGTACAAGCCAAGGTACACACTGCTGTAGGGCAGGATTTTTCAGCGTTGGTGCTCCTGTCCAGAGTGTGGAATGTATGTCACACGAAACCTCAACGGCTTTGGGTCGGCTACAACATAGGTACAGCAGATGTCCGATGCAGACTGTGCGATCCGGAGATATGACTGTTGTAGTGTCTGCGAGCGGAGATCGCTGTTGTACAGCAGTAGATCTTGGTGTAGCGGCGTGTGTATTTGTAGTCTGTGTCTACATGTAGATTGGTACAGTCTTGAAGACCCAAGCTCAAACATGCTCCTTTGAGTAACTTCAGTGGTACAAACAACAGCGTTTTTACCCCTTTGGCTGGCTTAGATCATGACTTGACTGTTTAGAAATCGCTGGTTCGTGAAGAAGTACTATAGAGTATTCCCTATACTGCAGTACAAGAGGAGCAATGTACATAGCTAGGGTCATCCCCCCCTCTTGTCGTTGAAGTTCGAACTATGCTCTGTGCTCAAGTGATCGATTGCACCCCTTGGGGGTGAGATGGATTGTCGGAGGTCAAGAGCCGACAACGGTCGTTTGCTACCGAAATGGATATTGTACTGCCCCATATAGCACAACACACTCACGTTTCGTTAAGATTTTCAGCATGTACCGTCTTATGTAGACAAAAGCGAGTCGGGCACTTCGCCTGATTAGTAATAGGAGACAGAGACAGAAATAGAGACAGAGAATTCTCCGTTAGGACCATTTTTAAACGCTTTGCTTGGTCAGTACGCTCGTCTCGTGATGTCCCGTCTCCGTGCGGACACGTGGCCAATGGCCCAAAGCAAGCGGCAAAAAATAGTAGGCCTGTCCCTTTTGCCTCAACCGTGCGCCAGGGCCAAGATGGCGAGAGAGAAACGGTGGTGCCGGCGCCGCTCCACTCGCTCGAGCTGATCAGCGTGGAGTGTGGGCCGAGCGATTGCCCCGTGGATGACAGATTGGAGCTGTCGATGGATTTTGCGCTGGACCGACCTCTGGCGGGTGCCTGGTGGGACGTGAAGGTGTCTGCGCTGTGGTCATTGTGGATCTTGTCGCTGTTGCTGTTGCTGGTACCTTGTGCTGGTGGTGGCGGTGCTGGTGTGAACGCTAGGTGTTGTTGGTGATATGGGTGGCGGTGATGATATCTGCGGCTTCACATTTTCTGCTTCATGTTTACACGCCAGATGTGTTCTCACACCCAAGCAATCAGCTCTCATACACCCATCCGACCGTGTCGTGTTTTAACCTTGACGTGACAATTCTTTACAACATGTTCTCGTTGTTATTTTCGGGTTTGGCAAGCAACCAATATCGATCACATGGTTTTCAGAAGGGTTTCACAGCAGGCATAGCCAAGTCGTGGAAACTTAAACGCCTCCAGCGGTGTATCCTTGTGTGCGCGCCTAGATATCTCGATCACCCCGATATCTGGAAACGCTCTAATGTTTTTTTATTGACAATCTAAGTGAGACAGCGGGAGAAGATGGGCAAGTCTACGTCGCCGTCTGCCTGCGGTGACAACGCTGTGTTCTACAGCAGCCTAAGAAGTAAGGCACGAGTTGATGTGCTACCTGTGAAAGGAAGACCGAGCGGGTGCCCTGAGCTGATATTCTTGTATACGTATCAAGTCCGCCGGAAGACAAGCATAAACCCTTCTTTTTCTTTTTGTCTTCACTTCAAATCAGCGCTCACAGCACTAGTGCCGTTTACTCCAACCCGTGGTCACACAGAAGAGCCCCTCTCTACCCTCCCCTCCTGTGGTCCGTTGCCTTCGATTTTTAATGCGAAAAGAGTTTAGCACTCTCTAAACCCTGTGGATAGCGCTAGTTCGTGTGTGCACAGAGGGAAGAGAGTGCTGAACTCTTCTCGCATTAAAAATTGAAGGCAACGGACCACAGGAGGGGAGGGTAGAGAGGGGCTCTTCTGTGTGACCACGGGTTGGAGTAAACGGCACTAGTGCTGTGAGCGCTGATTTGAAGTGAAGAACAAAAAAAAAAAAAAAAAACTATAGAACGTGATCAAACTGCGCCTTTATTTGTCCCCATCGTGTGCCACCGCGTTGTCGTCACATAAATCAAGAGAAAACCATGGAATTTGGTTAGCACGGCACATAGACGTAAGTACTAACAACGGGTGGGACCGCATCCCATGACCACTTCCGGTACCACACCCGTTCTATTAAAGTCGAGGATTTTGTACGTTTGAAACACCCGTTTTCTTGGTCGACCATCAGTCAGAAAGCGCTGCCTCGAAGGCCACTTGCGGGCTCCGTTGTACCCGTGCTGTGCATCTATCGTTTGATAGCACTTACCAAAGAAACGGCCGGGTACAGGGCTGGGCGGAGGGATTAACTTGATAATATTTCTCGTGGACGGATGCTTTGGGATCGTATGAGATACCGCCGCACGTTATCGGAAGACAAATGAAATGCATCCTCCGACGATCAGATGCGGTGTGAAACATACTCCGGAGCAGGGAGGTACCCCCCTCCGAATCCAATTTTTTGGCGTTCATTGTTCTGGTATACGTATATATATATATTATTGTTGCTTCGTCGGTCGACAATGCAAAGCCCTGACTCCCCCCCCTCTCCCTAAATGTGTATTTTTTGTCCTTCCCTACCTCCGCCCTGTGTGCCGGCGTCCATGACCGCTTCTGGTCTTGTTGCTCCTGCAGTTTTTGGTGGATTCTGTCAACGAGCGACATCTCGTACGACTTGGAGCCACGAGCGAGAGGGACTACCCACGAGGCAGCTGTTCGATGCACTTCGAGGCGAGCTGATTTGCGTTTCTGTTCGATCATGTGTGATTCCTCATCTCTTTCGCTTGCCTTTCATACGACAGTGGCCGTGCCGCTCAGTAGGCCTCTCAACCTCCCGACGTTTGCGACGTGCGTGGGTTCGAATCTCGGTGCAGTCACACGAACAGGGAATTTACCTTACAGCACAGCTAGCGCCCGCCCGCACTTGAGAACCTCAAGATAGCTTTGCCCGAGGCTGGGGTTCTTGCTGTATTCCTGGGGTCATGCTACGAATGGCAATGGCCGCTACAATATATAGGTTTTAGTGTAGGGACTCTTGACGGAGCTCACCAACGGTGCTCAAGTTCTTCGAGATTTTTATCTTTTCGAGGCTATAGCAATTTCTTGACTGCCAAGTTATTGTGTGCGGGCGCGATCTGTATGCCCAAACAGTGTGGAAAGCGATGGTTTCGTGTGTACGCAACGATTCGACTTCACGGTCGACAAGGAAGGGACCGGCTCAATCTTCATCGCGGGAGTAGTCAAGGCAGATGCCACAGAAGGAGGGCGGAGAATACAATTCTACTCCTGGTGGTCTTGCTTCCTCCTGTGTGACCCCGCCCGGTGTGCCCAGAGTTCACCCAAGGCGTATGGACCGAATGTATCTATTATTTCTGCTCTCTTTCTCTTTCCTCGCATGTTTCCTTGTAGAATTTCCTTTAGCTTCCAGCTCATACTCCTGTCCGTTCCTTTTGTTTCCGTTTCCGTTGAAAAAACTTTTGATTTTCGCTATTCTCTCTCGTGGAGTATAATTGTTTTCCCCTCTCTTGTCGTTTCTTTTTGTTATTCTCTGTCCTGCAAGTAGTCGGTTTGTCCCTCCATGTTTTCCCGCTATCGGAGACTGTTATTTTGTTGTTGTTTTTTAAGTCGGCGCGGATTGTGCAAGAATCTGATACAATAAGCAACAAAGAATACGCTTACACACAAGAAAATATTGCATCCCATATATCTTGGTCTGCGCACCCATAGGTCCCAAGGGTGTCAGTGGAAGGTATCAAGCCCTGCACCCTAGCCAACACCGGTCTGCTCGTCGCCTCCCTCATGAGGAGAGGAGGAGAAAACGGTGAACCCCCTGCCTCCGCAGAAGAGAAGAAAAGCGGGAGAGAGCCGGGGGCGGACGCGGTGGTTGCACAGGTTAACCTGGTGGTTCAGGTGGCCGACGTGGGGCAGGGGAGACTGATGCGTGTGATCTACAGCCCGCTGGAGTAGTAGCGGCCCTAAGACGTTGCGGGTGGTTTGCAGCACCTGCCGCTGAGAAAGGAGAAGGATGCATCCGCGTGGTGTAGAAAGGGCTGGGGGGGGCGACGCCGCGTCATCTCTGATGTTAGCAGCGTGAGATGCCGCGATTCCTTGGGTGTCTTTCCCGGGTTTTTTTTCGTTTTTGCATGTGAAGTGCGTTGCCGTACGGGTGGTGCGGCGGAATATTTTTGTTCTTGTTTTTCCGTTCGTTCTTGGTGTCAGAGAGTACCGTCGGTTGGCGTATGCCATATTGCTCTCTGCGTTCGTTTGGCCTCGTGTTGCTGGGCACGATGCACGTGAGCCACAAACTTCAAGACACTGTCAAACTCTGTGGCGTGTGTTGGCGTGGTGATGGTTTGTCCTGGTTTGATTTTCTTTTTTTCGTTGTTTGAACAAGAGTTGTCGTTCTGCATAAATGCTTAACCGCCGACGTGGCACTACGCCCATCTCAAATGGGTCAAGTGGCCTATGGGAAACATCCCAGAGCCAATAGTTTGTTGCGTTTCAGGTGGAAATCTACTAGGATGTTATCTCCTATAACGCGGATCGCTGTAGACCTGTCACTTGTTTGTGGTTTCCTTTGCTTTTACCCCTGGACAGGGCACCTACCGGGTGCATGTACCAAGTCTAGTCTACGCCAGTCAAGGCGGGTTGGGCGGAGTACGTCGCGATAAAACCGGTATTTCCGCCTGTTCGGGTGGGGTTGGTGAACGTCTCCAAACACGTGGACTTTCTTTGTTTCGAAAAAAGCGAGATGGGAGTATTTTCGCACACGAGTTTTTTTCAAAGAAGGATGGCTTCCGGTTCACCCGCCGGAATGTGGTTCGTGGTGCCTGGGACGCTGGGTGCTTAGTTTCTGACACACTGGTCTCCTGCATGGACATGCCTGTATCTGTGAACGCGAGTCCGGTCAGACACAGTAATACGGACATCTACTTTAAGAATGCATCTCCTAGCGCTCTTTGCGTCTAATGGCGAAGGACATGAAACGTAGGAAGAGCTCCCGGTGACCCCAGATGCGACAAAGGCTACCGGTACATCTTCGCCTGTGGCAGTTGGGTAAGCATGTGTGTTGTTGTGCTTGCACGAACAAGAGACTGTTTCCTCCGCCCGATGAGACTGTTTCCTCCGCCCGATGGCAATTTCCAGCTCGGGAATTCGAGAGGTGAGATTTCATCGGGAAGGAAGGGTTTTTTATGACAATTCACGACTGGCTTTTGCACCCGCTCCGTCTTTCGGCCCGGCACACTACAGACAGCGCCCGCACTTAACGACGCGGCACGTGCTGTAGGAGCTTCATGCTCAATATTCTTTCAAATCACAGCAACTTGAGCAGCATTTGTGAGTCTAACGATGAACCCCTACAAAAATTTCTCTATATTTGCGGCCATTTGTAGCCTAATCCAAGGGACCAGGAACCCCAGCCTCGGCCGAAATTTTATGTTCTTCAGTGCGGGCGCTAGCTTCTGTATGTTCGCGTTCAAAACAAGTTACGTGCCCACGCGCTCAACGTCATTCATACATGAACAGGGTGTCAGGTGTGGTCTGTGGGCAGGAGTAGAGAGCTTCTGAGAACCAACAACGTGAAACTAGCCACACATACGTTTGCTCCTGTGGCAGCTAGTGGGTGGCGCGTCGAGTTCGTCTACAAAATTACTGCTGTGTACCGTTTTTTGTCACGATTGTTAGTTATCACTTTCAACCAGCGCTCACAAGCATTTCTGCCGAGTAGGAGCTCCAATCCGTCGTTACGGGGGGTTGGCTTAACCAAAACGGTGATCAAGGCATTGACTTAGGAATTGACCCCGAGGTAACACGCTCATTCGCCGAGATCAGCGAATACCATTTTCTGGCGGCTCAGCGGAGACTACCACAGGCTTCTCGAGTTAGTCGGCTCTTCACCGTTTACGGTGCATTCTGTCGCCCCGAAGTCATGTCAACCCAGGGCTATCTCAATATTTCTATATTGCGAGCTGCAGGGAGACAGCCACAAATGCAGTAGCAGCACCACATACAGCAGCGAGCACAGGGGTGTGCATCCAGTGCGTCCGTCCTACAAAAAAACCGATCACCTGTGGTTCAGTTGTGCTAGCCCGATAAGAAAGCTGGGTCTACATTACATCGGTGTGCTTTGTGTCTTCGCGGTCTAGCGAGATCTGTTTCTGCGGTGGTGCGAGAGAGGCATGGAGCTGACCTGTGGGAGCACGGGACTGGACTACTGGTCGATCTCGGAACACATGTGACACACGCGCGTGGCGGCGGCGGCAGCGGCACGGCGGTGGCCCTTACGGTTCCGTGTTTGTGCTGCGATGGTTATTTGTACCTGAGTCCTGTAGACTGCACGTGCTTGGACCGCCAGCAGGGCTGTCCTTTCAATGACTACGCCGCCTTCCGTATCGCAAGAACGCCAGTATGACTGACCCCCCCCCATCTCCCCCGGACCGGATAGTCTTTGCGCTTACGCCAGCCTACATGGTGCGACGAGAGACCGTATCGAAGGAGAACAGACAGCACTCGGGTGCTTTAGCTTTTTTTCAACCTTTCTCGAGCTGTTCTCGAGAGAGACCGGTGATAGCACCCTCCGTTCGATGTTCGGGAAGCTGCGGCCCGCCCTCCGAATGAAAACACGCCATCCTTTGCGAGCTTTCGTTGCCAGCCAGAAGCACCGCGTTACCTGCGAAATTCCACGCTGCGGCCGCGCTCGAGGTATCATCCTTGGGTATATTTGGACAGTATGTACCCGGCCCTCTCTCCCCTCGGTGACACGGTGCATGTTCCAAGACCGTCCTCTTTGCCAATTCTCAAGCAGGGAGACTCCCTCCACAAGATTTTCACCAATAATCAGGTTGCTGCGATCATCACGTCGGATTTCTATACCGGCGCATTCGGCGGCACCAGCGACAACGCCTCTAGTTCATCTCTGCGACCATCACGTCGGATTACTCTACCGGCCCATTCGGCGGCACCGACGACAATGCCTCTGGTTGATCTCCGCCCTCCGGGAACGCCTATTTGACCACGCCTTCGCCGTCTCCACATCCCGCATTCTGGTCCCTCCTCTCCCCCGTTTGCAATCTGCACTTCTTGATTGCACTCCCGAGACCCATCAAGAACAGTCATCCATGACCATTCTTGCCAACAACGGAAAGGGTTGTGAAAATACGTATCACAAGCAGAAAAACCAACAATATACCACTCCCTGCCACGGTTCAACGATTTGTTGTGTGTGCATCAAATTGTGCCTCCACAACGAGGCGGGTGATTTAGCTACGTACGACTGCTACCGCGGGACCCCCCCCCGGCCATGCTCCCACGTCCACGCGACCCCCGCCTCGGCCGCCTCGACCTCTTCCAGGGGAATGCCGTACTGGTCGCAACGGAGAGTCTTGCAGCACGCTCCGCCCCCGCCGCCGCTCCCCGCTCCCGACACGCGCGTCACCGAGCGGGGGGTGTCCCCGTTTTCGTGCCGCCAGTCTTTCGGGATGCGGTAGGTGACGGCCGTGGCATCGGCGGCAACGGCGGGGTCGGCGGCGGCGACCGGGCCTGGTGGTGGTTTCGACAGGAGGCCCTCGTACCGCACGGTAACCCCTTCGCTGCAGCTGGTGAAGAGGCGGATCGCCGAGGCCTCGTCGGCCGCTTCGCTCGGTTGGACCTTCACCTCTCCTCCTCCTCCTCCTCGCTGCTGCTGCTGCTGCTGCTGCTGCTGCTCCGCCTCCTGTCCGGAGGGCGGCTGGCACTTGCAGGTCAGGGTGACGTCGGTGGAGACGTCGACGGTGATCGTGCGACACCTTTACTCGGCGGCGGCGGCGATGCCAGCGGAAGAAACACCAGCAATAGCACAAACAAGAGGGGTGACGAGAGGGTCAGCAACGTGTGGCAAAAACACCGGGGCAAAAGAAGACATTTAGCATCAGCATCTTCGACTCCAGGCGGCGGACGCGTTTCGCTACGTACCTATGAACACCATCGTCCACAACGGCGAACAGACGTAACTCAGGTCACCATACGGAGGTATGTGTCCATGTGTGTTTGAGAAAGAATCGGAACTAGATATTAAGCAGCTCCAGCAGTAACTACATGTAGCCAAACGGGGGTTGCTCAGGAATCATTTTCAACCAGCTGACGGCGAGCGTAGTGAAATTCAAATTCATCTGACGGTCCCATTCCAACGGGATGTACGGGATACATTGTGGCACAATGGACCGGCCCATGCTCAACTAAAACGCTCAGGGCGACCGGCAGACGCAAAAGCGTCGCAGCCCCCACGTTGACGTGTGACCGTTTCACCCCGGCCAGCAACCGTTTAAGTAAGGGGGGCTCTGTGGGAAGCTCAATGCCTGTCTCCGAGAGATGGAATTATTTTACTGCCGCGAGTTTACCCGATACGCCTTGCGGTCCTTACAGCAGTAGACTATTGCATACGATGTTGATTGCACCGCATTTTCGGCCCCAGCCTCCTCTGGGTGCGGCCACAGTATCTGGCATCACTGATATAAATCATTAGTGTATAGACTTCAAAAGACTCGAAATATGTCCAGTACCCAGCCGGTTTTCCTCGACGCACTGAAAAGACTCCACCACATCCCGTTCGACTGCTGTGGGCATGTATCTCGAACGGGTAGTCTTTCTGTGTATGTATTTATTTTTCCTTAAATCTGTAGGTCTACAGCAGAGAGAGGCTACGTATTTCTTGTTGAATAGATCGCGCCTCTCTTTCTTGATTCCCTCACCTCGCTACTGAGACCTGGACGTCCGTGCAGTGGATGATCTCCAGGGAAGCCACGACGCTGCCGACGTTGACCGTTGTCCCTGCGTCGCACCGCTCAACGGTGACGCTGCTGCTTCTGCCCGGCGCGTTGATGGTGCAGCCGCTGCACCCGGTGACGAGCAGTCCCGATCCTTCGGGAACATCGATCGTCTCCCCGTGCTTCTTCTCGACCACACGGCGTCTTTGGGCTGCGTTCCTCGCTGCGATTGTTTTCAGAACAGAGGACGACATGGTTGCTGCTGCGTGTGTGCTCGTTCCTTGATGCCGCTCGGGTTGTTGATTGTACAGAACACTTTCGGAGTAGCACCGCCACGCTCACGCCAAGGCAGCGGCCACCTCTGGCTCTGGGCTGTTTCGCTGGTACAAAGAGCAGGAGATAGAGTCGAAGTGGCCAGGAGGAGATTCAGGAGCCAGACTGCTGTTGGGGACGTTTACACACACTTTTCAGGTTTTCTCTGGTGCGCGGTTCCTGTTTTTAGTTTTTAGTGTGTGAAACAATCAGGGAACAGCCCTTGGAACAGAGTTCAGAACCGACCGGGAACTATGTAACTCGTGTCCGGAAATGCACCGCAGGGGGAGACGGAAAAATCACGATATCACGCCCTTTTGAGCCGTCGGGAGAGATTCGGGGCAGAACTCAAACGCTGCTCCACTCACCCATTGCATTGAGTAGGCTAGAGAAGGAATTCGTGATGGTGCTCTAGCCTCCGACCCCCGCCCGTGTTCGCCTTTGTAGGGAGTAAAGCTGCACTACAACGCAAGGAAAAAATTGCAAAAGAAATCATTCACAGCATTTTTTTTGGGTGGGTTTCGTGTAATTTACAACTCGGAGGATTTTGTTCTTTTGTTACGTACAAGTATTTGTTCTTGCTGGACTCTGGTAGTCTTTCTGTGTTTGTATTTATTCTTCCTTAACTCTGTGATTCGATTCTGTCCGTTCAAGAGCATGGAAGATGCATGCATAACCTTCGGTATGCATGTTTTTTTCGTGATACGAAGGCAGCAACGCCAATATTTTGGGCGGTGGATACACAGAAAGAACGCAGGACGCACACCTAGTCTAATAAACTGTACATGCTGTAGTCTAGGTGAAGCAAGCAGCAAGCGACCGTGGTGACGACACGACTCCGCCCAGCATCACCGACGACCACAAGCATACCCTCTCGTAAGTCCCACCCTTCCGGTTCCTCGCCGTCCGCCCCACGGCAGGTCGAAAGGAAGAGCAAATGACTGTACAGTACCAGTCATATTTTAGCGTGTGGTTATCGGCGAAAAAGGGCTCCGCCGAAGACCTTCAGGCCTCAGGCCCGTTCTACAGAACGGTCTACAGAATTGGAGCATCGTTTGCTTTTCGCCGTTCGTGCTATTGCTGTGTACAGCAGAAGTTGTTTTTTTTCCAACATTTTTTTCGCTCCAAAGATATGGCGTTGCTCATTTTCATTCAACGTTTGTCGGAAACAAGACTGACGGACGAGTTGTGGGGAAAAGCGACTCGAAAAGAACCCCCCCAGCAAGAATTTCCGCTGTCTGTATGTTTATTTCGATAACAGAACCGCCCCTTCTAAAACTAGCCCAACCAATGCGTGGTACAGTATTCTACATAAGCCTAACCCAAATTACGATCAAGCCCACCATTGACACAGCAGTTGTGAGTGGCAATAAGTAATCCATTCTCCACATGATACAATTTAAGACGCCGTGGCAGATTGCCAAATAACTAAAGTATTGGATTACTTACTTGGTTGAATTTGGTGCAACAAAAACAATCCATCGCAACAACTGCAAGACCAACAAAGAGATCAAACATCGAACTGTCCGTCGGGAGGCCACCAGGGCAGCCAGCTCCTCCAAATATGGCGCGTACGCAACATCACGGGTGACCGACTCGTGCCTGAGAGACGAACGCATAGAGCGTGGACAAATAGAAAAGCATTGTACATTTTTCACGGAACTCTCCAATCCAACGCAACGGTATACAATAGCCAGCGAAAACCTTACCGACACACCGGCATGTCGAACAGACGCGCGCCTGCCGCTACAAGCAGACAGGCTTTCTACATCTGAAGACTTAAAGTACTAGGCCGTCCTACCGTTTACGAAACGAAAAAGCTTACCCGAAGCCTGCCACCCACCCTGCAAGCATCTCCTACTCCAAATCCTCACGACACGACCGTTCGCGGCCCTCCTCTCCCCTCCACGCCAGCCAGAGTACACCCGCGCTTCCAACAACAAGGTCGTAAGGCACGCATGCAGTGAGCACACACCGTTTTTGATGCCTCATCTATTGTGAGCGGATAGCACGACGGCGGTGGGGGCAAACTCAACGAACTCACGGACACACGCCGCCGCCCCTCCACCACGTGTCTCGCAGCTAATTTTTCCCCCTGCAACAACAAAAAACGCCCTTGGATGTTCAGAGTAAACGATGACGGCCCAGTTTATCCGTAAGGACACCGTCGTCCCATAATTACATTTCAGTGCCGCGCATGGCGTTCGTTGGGTCTCCAAGCACACCAGGCGCCTGTTCGGGGCGGCAGTCACATGGGCGGGACAACCAAGGGGGGGGGGGGGGGACCAACCGGGACGCAGGATACCCACACACGAGTTTTGGAATACTTGAATGCAGCATCCATCAACATATGCATGTATCATAACAGAGAGAGAAGAACAAGAAGCACTAGTATGTACGGCAGTAGCAGCATACAACAGCAGTTAGGCACTAGAAATGCTTAAAGTCACACACCACGATCTACCACCACCGCCACATTTGGTATGGCGTGCATCTTCCCACCTTGAGTGCGGTGCGTGCTTTGGCTCCGCCCTTCTCCTCCCCTTCTTGCCTTTGCCGTTGCTGCTGCCGCTGCTGCTGCTGCTGCTGCTGCTGCTGCTGGAGGCACTCCTTGGGGTTGATGGTAACACTCTTGGTGACGTTGTGGGTCTTGTAGATCCCCACAAGCCGGTCCGCGAGCTCGAACATGTTGTTGCGGAGGCTGTTTTTTCGTGTGGTGGGGGGAAAGGTTGGTAGTCGGCGAGACACATACACACAAGGAGCCAAGGAAAGGGCGACAATAACGTTCACGATATGCATGTGTCAGGCGCAGGGATCATTCGTTGATTGGGGTTCCCAACCCCTTATCCCTAAACATACCCTGGCAAGAAGGTGTACAGCCACGAGAGCTTCCACGCCAAAAATGACTTAACATTCACAAAAATGCAAACCCTCCAAAGTAGGCACCACGTCTAATTTACCGTCCAAACCATACTATCGAGAGAGCGCAAGGCGCATGCATGCCCACGCCAACGTCTGTCCTCGGTACAACTTCTACGGCAGCAGCAGTGTTGTGCACCTGATGATGATGAACTGGGCGTTCTTCGTGCGCTCCTTGATGTAGTTTGCCACGATGGACACGTTCTTGAAGTCCAGGGCCGCGTCGATCTCGTCCATGACATACAGCGGTGTCGGCTGCGTTGCAACGAAAAAAAACACAAACATTTGTACAGGATGTCAGAGCAAAAATGGTCATGAAATAGAGTCAACAGACGTTTGCATGTAGCCGTCAAGCTGTGTTGAGACCGGGCTCAGCGTGTGCGGTATTTAGCAGCGCATGGGAGCCTGTCACACCTCCCTACTGTTCTGTCGCACACAAAGGACGTCGATTTCGACACAACAAAGCGGTACACGGGGGACAAATACAAACAAAACTTAAAAACTGTAAAAACATGCTCCGCACACATGCTTGGTGCATGCTGCATGCTTACGCACCACCAGCTGCAAGCTTACGCACCAACATTCAAAGTGGTGCGGCGCCAAAGACGAGGCATAAAACAAAGAGAGAAACCGTACGAATATGATTTATCTACTTTAAACACGGCGCACGCGAGTGCCAGTGCATGCTTCTGTGTTAGTGGCGCGGTACCAAGAAGAGAGAGAGAGAGAGAGAGAGAGAGAGAGAGAGAGAGAGAGAGAGAGAGAGAGAGAGAGAGAGAGAGAGAGAGAGCACATAGGAGGGTATTTCCCCAATGAAGACGATATTTTACACTTCTAACACCGTACTTCCGAACCCGCCGCGTGCCCGTGCACCTCCCTCTACCCCTAACCCCGCCGCGTGTTGCGGGTGCCCACATGATGGTCATACCTTGAAGTGGTGCAGAGCGAACACAAGCGCGAGGGAGGACAGAGTCTTCTCCCCCCCCGAGAGGTTGGCGATGTTCTTCCACGACTTCTTGGGGGGACGCACGCTGAACACGATGCCCTCGCTGAAGGGGTCCAGAGAGTCCACCAGCTCCAGCTCCGCGTCGCCGCCCAGGGTGATCATCTGTGGTGTCCGGATCGTGAGAGAGAAGGGTTGCAATATTTGTTCCCGAGAGACTAACGGGTAGTTGCGGCAGCGCGCAAATGCCGGTTGTATTTGTTCATTTGTAGGTGTACAGGGTGTGAAGGGTTTGAACACCATGTCGGGAGGTTCCCCTTCAGCTCGGCACTTCTGAAATAACGTCCCCCTTTGGCAGTTACTCTTTAGTTTCTTGTTTCATCCATATTTGCATCCGGGGGGGGCTGCTTGTCGCAACTGCTTGCCTCACGCAGGTAATCACCAAGATACTACTCCTTTTGGAAATATAGGTACCACTGGGGTATTCCTTTCCAAACAGAATTACATCGTTCAAAATGGCAAACGTAGACGACCAGTTAGCCTCAGCACTACCAGAGTCAGCGCCCGAAACGTGCTAACTGCTCCGCAACCTCCAAGCGATATTCACAGCAGTCCACACACAAAAAAACAAAATCATTCTCTACCCACCTGGTACATCTCCTTGAGGCGGAGCGTGATCTGTCCGAAGCCGGCCATGAACTCGTCCAGCCGCTGCCGCCGGAGGTTCTCGTGGTGCCTGAGCAGGGCCGAGCAGTCGAGCAGTTGCGCACGCGAAGACGCGTGTTGTGTCACGTGTGTGGGTCATGTGTGTGTGTGTCACATAACCAACACCGGCGGGACAACGCGACCAATAAATTTAACTTTTGGTCGGGGTTGTGGTGACATGTGCGGAGGAGACGGAGAGAGAGAGAGTCGAGGAAGTGCGGGATGATGCGGCTGGCCGGCTGTCTTGCATACAGGCAGCCAGTCGCTCCCCCATTAAACGCTGTAACCGTTACCACAAGAACCGAGACAATGCGTCTGGGTGGTAGGTACTGGGATCCAGGATGACGCAAACCCCCACATCGAGGTGAAGCACGACCACATCACACGAGTACAACCAAAACAAACACACAAGGCTACTTGCACCCCCCCCCCCCCCCTNTACTCTCGAGCTTCCTTCCTGGCTACGGTGGCCTCCTCCAGCTCCTGCACCCTCCCGTGGTACTCCTCCTCCCTCTTGCGGTACTGCTCCAGGGCCGGCAGGTTGACGGAAGATTCCATCGCCTTCTTTTCCGCCTCCATTTCGGAGATCTTGAGCTTGAGGTCCTCCCTGCCACCGCAGTAAAAAAAAAAACCAGCAACCAGCTTAACCATGCGAGAGGACACATCGTGGTGATGTCGGGTAGCGTTTTGCATTGTAGTTGTCGTGTGAATATGGTGGGAAAAAATATCTGTGTACACACTCTTCTACGCAGCACGTATCGCTAAGGGAAACCCTTCACCATTCCTTGGGGAAACCTCAACTGCTGCTGCCCTATCAGACAGGAGACGACAAGACTGCGCGCGCCGCGATAAATAGCTGGCGCAGACCTCTTCCTCCAGACCAAGGTCACCTTGGAGACAAACCCAGATTTAGACAGCCGTCGGCGTCGCCAAGAAACAGACCTCTCACTCAGACCAAGGTTACCTTGGACACAAAACCAGATTTAGACAGTCGTCGTCAAATATCATCAGTGACAAACTGCTGGCGGCGGAGGAGGGTAAAACGCCTACATGACTGTGAAAACAACCCGGATAGAATCAAGCGCCCTTCCAGGCCGGGGCTAGAAAAGCTCGGCTCGAAATCACTCAGGAACAACAGCAGAACTCGCAGAGTATCGATGTCGTGCGGCGGAACTACAGAAAGTATTCACCGTACAGCCTCCTTCACAAACACACATTCTGCAACAGCAGCGTGGAGCAAAAAATATTCCAGATACGATCACAAAACTAGACAGGTGGGATACTCTTCACAACGGCTTCATGAACAGTTGACACTCACTCATGTGGGGAATACAATACAAACAGTGCAAAGAGAAGGGAAGGGGAAAAAACCGTTAGGACATACCATGGTATAGACACCCGTCACACCTGACAACATGGTCCACTTCTTCCGCGTCCAAGTCGGGCAGCACGCCCACCCCGCGGCCCGCCGCCGCCGCTTTATCACGCTTCTTCGTTCCGTCGCTCTTAGCCTTGGCGCTCCTGGTGCTCTTGCCCTTGAGACGCATGACAGACAGGCAGATAATCGCACGTTCGAGCAGGGTGGATTTAGTCAAGGCACCTTCAACGAGGTCAGTAGCCCTCGCAGGGATAATACGCTTGGTTTTAGTGGCGGGGTTGGGGGATAGGGATACGATCCCCCCCCCCCCTAATGGTCTAACCGCTAAGGCATGCAAAACATAAGAGTACGCCCCCCCCCCTCTATTTCCTAGATAAATAACAAAATCCTCTCGAAGGCGGCCCAACGAGGACCGGAGGGAGGAGTCACCGCGGTAAAATAGAACAGCAGTGCGTAGCAAGACCTGTAGGATCTGGAGAAAGATATGTGGGCGTGGAGGCGAGACCGCTGACGATGGATGGAGCCGACCCTCAAGCGTTGCATATACGCTGTCAATGCAGTCAGCACCCACGGATATGCTTGCGGAATCGATACTCACGACTCTTCCGAACTTTGTTAGGAGAAGACACGCACACGCAAGTGCCGCACACCCAGTACGAAGGGATCTCTGGCATCTCCACCCTCAAGTACCTACACCCCAACAACCCAACACAGCGGTTCTTACACGAATCGGACGAGCGAGTGAACAAACATCACTGGCGTGTCAACCTATGAACACACGGCGGATAACAACTCCTGCCGAAAGCCGCAAAGACGAGTGCACAATGTGTCGTGCATACCATGACACGCAACCAAACCTAGGCGCAGGGTAACACGTCAACACGTACACGATTCAACCAATATTTTCTTTGCATGCTTGCACTTCGAGGCTGAGTACTGGAGGAACAAGCGTGAGATTTCATGCAATTTTTATAATAATTTGTACAATTATTCTTAACTTCCGGTTTCGGGGAATAAGAATACGTTCTACTTCGTACATATGCATATGGCTACTGCTGTATTCGCGCCGAAATTGCCGGCCTTTCAAGAGCTACGGCCTCGGAGGCTTCAAAGAGACACCGTCTGGAAGACCCGAATTCACCCACCTCGCTCTCCTCCTCCTCCTCCTCCTCCTCCTCACCCCCCCCACCCTTGCTCTCTTCCACTCCGCCGTCCCCCCGTTCCTCGTCGGTGACTCCCTCGCCCCTCTCGTCTTCACTGCCCTCGTCGTCATCGTCGTCGCTCACGCCATGCTCATGCTCGTCCTCGTCCTCCAAACCCCAGTCCTCCGCCTCCTTCTTGTGGACCTTCCTCAGCTTCTTGAGCTCCCCGGTCCAGTGCTTGAGCTTCGTCTTGTTCTCGTTGATGCTCTTAAGCGACACACACACAACGTATCACAATAACGTGCACGGAAATTGAAAATATTTACTTGCGAAGAATATATATTGCGGATAAACCAAGGCAAGCACCGCAGGGGGAAAGGTGGGGCAAAACAACGAAGAACAATAAATGATAAAACTCCCTGGTGACCTCGGCTGATACGTCAGGTATACATACGCCGAAAGGCCTGTAAACCGGCGCCAGAATAGATGGGACGAACACACACACACCAACACGCCGGTGCATAGAAATAATTGCCGCAATGAAAAAAACCAAAACGATTGCGGGGCATAAACACGGCGGTGGCGCATTGACGCAGCAGACATGGGTGAGAGAGGGCCTGACCAGCAATCATGTCCCACTACCGTACTTGACGTAATGTACCACACCGCCAGGACTGGTGCTCAACGCTCGCTTCCCAAAAAAGGAAAGACACAGACAAGGGCATTCTGATTTCGGCCGCACGCTGAGATCAGAATGTTAGCGCGGTCGATGCCAATAACAATATCTCACGCACACACAGACACGAAAGCACAGCAGCAGCACCTTGGCGTACTCCTGCAGCTGGTGCGAGATGTCGACCTCCACCCCTCTGATCTTGTCGGCGAGGGACTTGGCCTTCTCGTAAGACTCCGCGATCTCCCGCAGCTCTTCCGCCTTTGTGTTAACCTCAGCCTCGGCCGCCTCGAACGCCTTCAACACCTGCAGCGGGTAAGGGTTGATGCTGTTGCGGCTGTCGTTGAATATTGTTGTCGTTGCCGTTATTCTCGTCGTTGTTGTCGCCGACGCCTTCAAGCATTGGCACCGCCCCCAACCGACGCGAACGCCACCCGTGGCCACAGGCCAACTACCCAAACAACGGTTATCTACATCTACACACTTCTATACCCCGAAAGAAAGACAAGCTGGGTAAGGCTCGATGAAGGAATGCAAGCCAAGATAAGTTGTGCTCGGTAGAGCCACGTTGTTGGGGCTGCGTCAACGTCTGCTATTGTGTGACAGCAGGCAACCACACTACAAAGACGAACCCCGACATCATCATCACCATAATCATCACAACCATCATCACCATAATCACCATCATCATCATCATCATCATCATCAACAACAACATCAACAACAGCGTGTACTATATACTATACAGCCAGTACCTCGAAGGCCTTCTCTTCCATCCCCGCGAAGCCATCCTTGGCCTTCTGCGCCTTCTCCCGCACCGCTTCCAGCTCCTTGGTCTTGCGATCAGCGTCCTTCGCCACCTTCTCCCCCTTCTTGCGCTCCCCTTCCCCTTCCACGGTCGCGCGGTTGAGAGCATCGCTCGCCTCGTCAAGAGCCCTGATCATACACGAGGACATCAACAACAAAATGCAGGTGTTGTATTCCCTCGTCTCATCAAGAGCCCTGAATCACTACAACAACAACAACAACAACAGCAGCAGCAGCAGCAACAACAACAACAACAGCAACAAAAAAAAAACATCGATTGGGCACGACAAAACAGCCACAACAACAACAACAACACATTCATTGGAGCCATTCGCCTTGTCAAGGGCCCTGACTGTACACAACAGCAACCATAAAATACTTTCATTGAACACGACAAAAACAACAACAAAGAAACGACGCGCAAAAAATAGAAAAATGTGTGCTGACAAATCACACACAAGAAGTTGCAGACCATGCAAAAGGGTGGCATTGTAGACCACGCCAAAAAAAGTATTGGGCACAACCAACCAGGTAGCCAGGAAATCCCGACGATGTTGACTGGCACCGCATGCCCTAAGGGCGAAGAAGGATCGATCGGACCTACGTAGGCGTGGCCGCGGTACGGATGCATACGTACGCCCCCCCCGCGCCTCGATCCCTTCTTCCAGCGTCGAGTCGAACGGCGGCCTCGATAAAACCCAACTCCGGCGTACACGTTTCTCAACGAAACGCGAACGCAGCACACCACCACCTACGTATCCAAGAACATGTCTCCGCAATGCCACCAAAGAGCACCACAGCATGCAGCAAACAACACGAACAACACGAACAACACCACCACCTCCACCACCACCACCACCACCGACAGCAGCAGCAGCAGCAACAACAACATACGTGGTAGGTAGCTCGGTGGAAGTTCTCACTTTGAGGCGGCGTCGGCCCTCTTGACGGCCTTCTTCAGCCTCTCCCCGCCGACCTCTAGGATGGCTGTCTGGAGCGCCTTCACCGCCGCCTCCGCCTTGTCCAGCGAGGCAGACACCTGTATACATACAACATACAAACATAGCAGCAATTAAAAAAATTAAACAAACAAACATACAAACAAAAACGAACCTCATGAGGTATGATACTCTGGCCGCCGCTTTTCGGTTTCACTTACCACAGAATGAATTTGTTGGATATCCGATAGCTGTGTGTAGAGCAGTCATGGGGTGGGTGGCAGACCTTCAGAAGAGGAGTGATCCAATTTTCCCATGCTTTTTTTTTGTTTGTCAGGGAGTACATACATATCGAGCGATACTGTACAAGAGGGCATTCGCGACCGCTGACACCACCTCTCACCAATTCACACCTGAGGCTAATCTCGGACATTAAAAAAAAAAAATCACAACCAATTCTTACATAGTTAGTTGTCCTCTCGCTTGCGTTCCTGGTGTGGGTGGAAAGCGCTACATACATAGTTCGTGTGTACACAAAGGGAAGAGAGTGCTGCACTCTTCTCGCATTAAAAATCGAAGCCAAAGTACCGCAGGAGGGGTAGGTAGGGGCAAAAACCCTTCTCTATGACCACGGGTCGGAGTAAACGGCACAAGGGCTGAGAGCGTTGATTTGAAGTGAAGACAAAAATAAATAAATATATATATATATATATCAACCACCACATGGAGCGGGACCACCGCCTACGCTCTCGTGAATAGCAGCAATCTCGGGGCCAACACGCTAGACGCATACATACCTTGGCTAGGTCGTTCTCGTCTTTCGTGAGGTCCTTGGTGAGCTTCTTCAGCTGGGCCTCGGCCTCGGGGGTTAGCTTGCACTGGGCCTGGTCGTTTTTAGGTTCAGGAGGGAAGGAAAAGGGGGTGCGGGTGGCGCGAGAACACCGAAAAAAACCAGCGCCTTGAAACAAACATCAAATTGTACCATGCATACCATACCACAACTCAACGTACCAGGCATTGCCATAGGCCGAAGAAAATGAGCCAGCAGGTACATGCAACAGAGACCAAAAAAAAAGAAAGAAGGTATGGCTCTTTCATTTTACGCGTGGCGGCTGGCGAAATTCCATGTCATCAATATCGTAAAAAAAAAAAACTCGAACGCAAGATCGTCTTCGTAACAAGCAACAGCAACAAAAATGAAAAGAGCAGCCAAAACCCCACCTGCAGAGCTTCCATCTGCTCGCGGTACTGCTCCTCGCTCGCCCCGACGCCCTGCAGCCGCATCTCCAGCTTGGGGATAAGAGTCTGCCAAAAAACAAACAAAAACAGAAACAGCAAGAAGGACCACAGCAGTACAAGTAAAAGGCCGACCAATGTATTTCTTAACCGTTACCAGCCGGTTAGCGCGGTCATGCAAACTATGAAAAATGCACACACAAGCACACCTGCAGCTGCTTGCTCCTGGCGTGCAGCTTCTTGAGGCACTCCTCCGCGTCCTTCTTCTTAAGCCTAGCGGCCTTCACGGCATCCTCCGCCCTCCTGGCCTCGACGGCCAGCTCCTCCGCCCGGGCGGCGCTAACGATGCCGGCACCACCGGCACCACCGCCGGACGCCGCGCTGCCGCCTGCTCCACGCAGCACCAGGGAGGAATAGGGAGGAAAGAACAACAGGGAGGAACAGGGAGGACAGAAAAAAAAAAGATGGGTTATTTCATCCTTGACTCTGTACGTGTGGATAGAGATTAATATTCGTTGTGTCTTCGTAAGAAAAAAAGAGACGAAGTTGACTGTTTACGTGCGTGTAGAGATGAATTCGTTGTGTCTTCGTAAGAATAATAAAAACGTTCGAAGTTGATTTTTTACGTGTGGATAGAGACGAATCCATTGTCTTCGAAAGAAACAGAAAAAAACGTTCGAAGTTCACTCTCATCTGCGGTGGATAGAGATCAATCACTTCGCTGTGTCTTCGTGAGAGAAAAAGAGGGTTCGAAGTAGTGTGCCGTAAATGATCGGTGAAACCCACACGCACACATACCACATACCCCTTTTGGACTCGAGACTTTCAGATGTTTACGAGCCACATCAGTGTCTTCAAATCGTTTAGTAAGCGGAACCCGCGTAAAAAAAACAACCACTCCGCTCCCTCACCGGCAACGCAGGGATGCAGCGTCAATGGTCTAACGACTCCGGCATGCACGGCAATGGGTACGCACCCCCCCAGGCGGGAAGTGATATCGGTAGGATAGATAGACTAGGGACGACATTTTTGAGCCAGATTTGGCAAAGTAGGAAGGAACGATTGGCCATCGGTGATCGGTCCTGTGGGAACAATGCTCCGTCCTCTCGAGGACGCGTGGTCAATGGTCTAACCGCGAAGGCATGCAAAACGTACGAGTACGCCCCCTCCCCATTATAGGGATGCGGGGTCAATGGTCTAACGACCACTGCATGCGTTTCCTCCTCCCCTCTCTCACCCCGTCCAATGATCCGCATGGCGCCGCGCTTGGTAGAGTTGCCTCCCCCAGTCATGGCACCGGAGCGGTCGATCAGCTTGCCGTCCGCAGTGACGACGCGGTGAACGGTGCGACCGTTCTGGTACGCGGCCGCCATGGCCGTTTTCATGTCGGGAGCAACAAGGGTGTCTGGGAGAGCCAAGTAGAACGCAGTCCGGAACCTGGGGATAGGGGGGGGGGGGGGGGTGTACTCATAGTTGTGCATGCCGTAGTCGTTTGACCATTGGCCTCGCATCCCTACAAAGCCGGGACGGAGCACGCCGGGTTCTCACCGGACCAGGCTCTCACATCACCCAGCACGAAGCCCCGTGAGATATTTGGCGAGTCGCATGAAGGGTGAGATGCATCCTGCTAAAGGTGTTCGGCATCTTGTGCTTACTTCCTTGCGTACGGATGACAGCTACGTATGACTTAATTTATTTTCTGGTGCTTTCACTTCCAGAGACAGTTGTAAGCACTGTGTAACTGCCTCGAGGAAGCTTGACCATTTTAACACAACGTGGTGCGATCATCCCCCGTTGCGCGGAGTGAGGTTTCTCGACCCCGCACAACATGATCTACTCGACCACCATTATGGTTACCGCCAAAAAAAAAAAAAACGGTAACCTGGTTGCCGAGTTCACGAAGTGAACTGGCTTGTTTTACAACGTTGCCAAGCGACGAAAACCCAATGCCGATGGCAAACACCGAGTGGGGGGCTTGTTTTACAACGTCGTTGCCAAGCGACGAAAACCCAACCCCGATGGCAAACACCGGGTAGGGGGGGGGGGGGGGGGGGGGACCCCTGTTTAGGATGGAAAAATTGCGGGGCCCCCTTTACCGGGGGTCCCCCAAAGGAAGGAAGAATGGTCCCCAAAAAGAACCAACCCCGGGGGGCAAATTTTCCTTTGGGGTTTTCCAAAAAAGGGTCAAAAATGTGATTCCCCCTCCTAATGATGCTTTTTCCCGCCCCTTTCTCCCCCTTTTTATACCCCCCTTCAAAAAAATTGGCTTT